ACAATGTTTCACTGTTATTCATAATGTTTTCCTGTAATATACCAGATAGTGTTTCACTACTATTCATAGGTATCAGTGGCCAATTTTTCCAGAAGGGGATGGCCCTGTTGTTCTTCCCAGTCTTTCTTAGTCTGGAAGCTCTACTGAAACCTGTCTACCATGAGTGAACCTGCTAGTGTTGAAATACCAGTGGCACAGCTTCCAAGCCACACAGCAACACACAAGATGCCACAGTACAACATTAGCCTTGGGACTAATAACATAATATATATGCAATTTCAGTTTTACCCTAGTGACCTCCCCACACCTATTTTTATTTTAATTTTACTAAATTAAAAAAAACTCTCCATAATTTGCTTTTTTTCAGGGCTTAAACAAAGTATTTTGAAACAAATTTTGAACCAAGTTGTGAAACAATTCTAGAAATTATATCATAAAGTTCTAACTTTTCTAACATCTTTCTCTCTTTTAACCGTTACCCTGGCAATCACCCTGCACTTTTCCTCCTAGAAGTAATGGTTTTTACTAGGGAGGAGGCAGCAGCCACGTCTTACTTAACTGGTACACAGTGACCAAGAAAAAGAAAACCTCAAAGACCCTCACATTAAAATTTCAGAAATATGTATTTCTCTATATATAGATCAATGAAGCACTTTCTTTTCTCCCTTGGTATATGACAATGCTGAGCACAAAAATGATGACAAATAAATATTTGATGATTAAAGTGCCTGTCATGGCACACATGGTTAAACTGAATTAGAACTAAAAACAGAAGACTGGTTGGTTTTCATTTTTCAGGAAAAGATAATTCAAAATTTTTACTTGGATCAATTAAAAATATTCTATTTTCTTTTGAAAAAGCTAAATATATTTTATCTGTATCATATAAAGAATATATCAAAGAATATATTGTTTCTTAAAATCTGAATATTCACAAAGAAGAACAAAATTCCAAATTTCCATAATAAGCATTGCAATGCTAAAAGGCTAGTGATCAAACTGGGTGTTTGGTTGTTCTCATGTTCATCTTTTTATCTGTCTTGAAAGGAAAAGACCGGTATTCACAAAGCTTATAAGGACCTGATTAACCCACTGCCCTCTAGTTGATTCTGACTCACAGCAACTCTGTAGGGCTGAGTAGAACTTTCCCACAGGGTTTTCATGGCTGTAATATTTATGGAAACAAACTGCCTCATCTCCCACGGAGTGGCTGGTGGGTTCAAATCACTGACTTTTCAGTTGGCAGCTAAGTGCTTTAACCACACTTACAAGGACCTGATTAGAGGTAGAAAATCAAAACTATTGAGGCAGAGGAAGATAATTATGAAGGTCTTATTCTCCAATTAATCACATACTTGTAACTTGTAAAATAAAAATCAAACTCTTTAACAAGACATTCATTAAAGATCCCAAACAATCTGGACTTAGCTGAACTTTCCCCAGATGCATTTGTTCTCATTCCAGTTATAGCAGATTATTAGCACTGACTGTCCAGTCTCCATAGAAGCCCGGTGCTGCAGTGGTTAAAGTGCTAAACCACTAACCAAAAGATCAGCAGTGTGAATCCACCAGTCCTCTGTGTAAGAAAGATGTGGTACTCTGCTTCTGTAAAGATTTACAGCCTCGGAAGTGCTATGGGGCAGTTCTATTCTGTCCTATAGGGTCGCTATGAGTCAGAATCAACTTGACAGCAGTGATCTTTTTGTTTTGTACAGTCTTCAGGCCCTTGGTCACATTTTAAAATCTGTCAAGAATACCCTAACCTATTTATTTATTTTAAAATTATACTCTTCAGGTACATCTTGAATTCTCTCATGCTTCTAGTCAGAATCAACTGTTTTCTCCTCTGTGATCCCATGGACTACAAATTATACTTATTCATTCATTTATTTACTTATCTGACAATATACTTATCTGACAATATACTGAATGCTTAATATGTGCTAGGCACTGTTATAAGGCTGAGACCATGACGGCAAAAAAGACTGATGTAAAACTTAATGATAATATTCATTATAAATGTAACTTGAATTTTAGTTGTTTAAGTGCCCATTTTTCCATCAATTTATAAGTTCCTTGAAGTCAAGGCCCACATCTTAAAAAAAAAAAAAAAAAACTTTGCCCATGTTGAGTACCTATTATAATATGGTAGTAATTGGTTTTAAGACACAGATTAGCATTTACTGTCATTGTGAACTTGAATAAAGCACTTACATCTCTGATTCTCTTCCTCTTCTGTCAAATGGAGATAGGAGCACCTGTCTTTTATTAAAAGTATTTTTTGAAATGGAAAGGTATTAAAAAAAAGTAAGCAATAATAACAATAATTATAAATTAATGTTTCTACTTTTATTAAACTGAATTATAGCAGGGCCTTTTGTTTGCCTTCATGAACAGGGAGTAACCATTCCATGACCGAGGAAATATAAATGCAAAATAGTAAGCAACCAAACTATGAAATCATTCATAAACCCAGATTTAGATTTGTTTTTTACAGTGGTATTTCACCAGCTTATTTTCCTTGTTAGATTTAGATACATCTTCTCTATAACCCAGTCTGTAGTTATCATTCAGGATTCAATTAGGGGAACAGAACCACTAGAAGGTATTTATACAGATAAAGGGATTTGTTACAGGATTTCACCTTACACAATTAAATGGTGGTTAAATAGCTAATTAGATGGTCTCTGTATCTGATGCTATAGTTTGAAGTCCACGGGGCAGGCAGTCTGGAGGGGAAGATGGATGTAAAGCAGGGGCAAACAAGGAAAGCTGAAATCCAAGAATAATAAGCTGAAACTCACAAGGATGGACTGGAACTGGGTCATTTCTTACTGTCTCTAATCTAAATGAAATGGATGTCCTGCAGGTGATACTGACACTTGTCATCTTGTAGCTAAACACACACCTGGTCCAGGAGTCAGAAAGGCTGAAGGAGGATATAAGACAAGGAAGACAGTTGCAGGTCTGCTTGCTGTTCCTTGCCAACAAGGTGAGTCAATAAATAAGCAACATGTTTAAGCTAAACATGGTTGCCTCAACCTTTGGAGTGTGAAAAGCAAAAGTGGCTGTCTTCTGTTCTCCAAATCTTGTGCCAAATTGTCTCTTACGGCTTACCTTAACTCAAACATATTGAGAAGGGGATTCTGGGAAGCATAGTTCAGCCTAACCAAGCTGACACATTACAAAGCCACCACAGTCTACTCCTTGTCAACTTGGCACCCATACATTATCTCTTTAAACTATACTTAGTTCCCAAATGGGGAAAATAACAATGTCCTGCTTCTAACATGATACAACAATCCCATATATAACAAAGTTGCATACAACAAACATTCTAACCTATTCCCCAAAAGAGGATACAAAGTCCCTTTCTTTGCTTTTGGGGATGTTCATTCTTTAAACTGATTCATACTCCCTTTAGCTATCTGGAGGAGCTCTGGCAGTACTGTAGTTAAAGCATTTGGCTGCTAACCAAAAGGTGGGTGGTTCGAACCCACCAGCTGATCTGCAGGAGAAAGATGAGGCAGTCTTCTTTCATAAAGTTTTCCAGCCGTGGAACTCCTATCGGGCAGTCTACTCTGCCCTATAGGGTCACTATGAGTCGGAGTAGACTTGATGGCAGTGAGTTTTGTTCTCTTGTTTTTTTAACTCTCTGGTAAATTAAATACAGAGATATAATATTAACCATTATTATCATGTCTTATATTAGATGGTAGGGGAATGAGAGAGAAGAAAAAAACAAAAATACTGGTAAATACGTGTACAAAAATATTAATATAAAAAGGATATGAATTTGATTCTATCATAACTACTGCAACAGTATTTCTGTAATAGTTCACAAAGTCATAGCTGGCACTTGTAACTACTTTCTTTCACTACTCCTTCCATATTCCTTTCTTTTCAATTAGCTGGTTGTAGTTCCTTATCTGTAGGGTAGCCCAAATTTTCAGTCCTAAAAGATCTGGGACATGGTTGGTGCTGCCTAAATTGGACTGTTATAATTTTCTATTGACTTTAATCATAGGACATGGAAGTACTACATCCCACATATACTCCTCCTTACCCGTATTTATAGTAGCAACTCAAATTTCCCTTGATAGGATCAATTTATCAGTGATCCTCCAACTTTGCCTATTGATTCACTGGCATGAGGAATCCCAAATGGCCAAGAGGTAGTCTTAACTTCCAATTTAATGGAATCATTGTTATGTCCCCTGGTGGAAATATTTTCCTCTTTGGAACGAATTCTTCTAGAGCAGCAGAGCCTACAATTTCAGGGACAGGAAGCAGACATTTTGCTATTGGGTCACTAGAGATAATAGTGTGTAGAGCCACTCCCATTTCCATACCTTAATTTCTAGACCCATGAAACTGGCTATAGGTGAAATAATGCTGTAAACTGGACACTGATTACAGCATATACCACATTCTGGAGAATATTACCCCAGCCCTGCAAGGTCTTGCCATCGAGCCAGCACATAACTGAATCTTCAAAAGGCCAATCCACCACTCTATCAAACCACCTGATTCAGGTTGATAAGAAACATGTTAAGATCATTGCTATACTTCAATTGCTGTGAATTAAGTTCCTTAGTTAGAAATAATGTTTGTGGAATACCAAGATGGTAGATAAAGCATTCTGTAAGCCCACAGATGGTGGTTTTAGCAGAAGCATTACAGGCAAGGAAGGCAAATCCATATCCAGAACAAGTGTCTATTACAATGAGAACAAAGCACTGCCTTTTTTTCCATGAAGGAAGCATGTAATATAATCAATCTGCATCAGGTAGCTGTTTGATCTCCTCAGGGAATGATGTCATAGAGGTCTCAGTGTTGTACATAGATGCATCTTGGTAGGGGACATCCATGTTGCTAAGTCAATGCATACCCACCAACCCCCTTTGCTCATAAATATATAATTCCTAGTGGTTCTGCTTCTCTGACTGAAGCCTGACTGATAAATTTGGTCCTGAGTGTAATTCCAGAGGAATAGAATCTTAAGGATAGGCTTTCTGAATTGGTTCTGGGTTAAATGGAACTGATTCTTTTATCTTGCTTTCATAATAAAGTTCTATATTTCTATTTAAAAGATTGAAAATACTTGTACAAGAATTAATAAATTTTGTGATGACAAACACAAACAAGGTTACTTGGGTTATACTTACTAAGGACTGAATCAACATATTAAGACAATGTTTCTGAATCTCAGGGGGTACGTTTGCAAAGCTTCTCTCAGACCAACACCTTGCAAAATGCTTTACAATATACCTGTTAAATAAAAGAATACCAAGTTACAAAAATGAAAATATTTTTCTTTATCATATTCAGTAACATATTAGTTGTCAGTTATACAAATTATACATATATTTTGACTAACTCTTACTGTTAATTTTATGAGTTCTGTGGTGGACTTAACTATGCTTCCTTTTCTATAAAAATACATTTTAATCCACATTAAGTAATATGTACAGATTTTAACATAACTAGTCATGATCCTTCACTACTCGTCTATCAGTTTGTCATACTGTGGTGGCTTATGTGTTGCTGTGCTACTGGAAGTTATGTCACTGGTATTTCAAATACTAGCAGGGCAACCCATGGTGGAAAGGTTTCAGTGGAGCTTCCAGACTAAGACATACCATACTACAAAGAAGGATGTGGGCAGGTCTAACTCTGGGGGGAAAAAAAAAAAAAAAAAGCCATGGAAAACTTTATGCATAGCAGGGAAACATTCTCTGGTATAATGCCAGAAGATGAGTACTTCAGGTTGGAAGGCACTCAAAATATGACTGGGGAAGAACTGCATCCACAAAGTAGAATCAACATTAATGACGTGGATGGAGTAAAGCTTTCCACCTTCGTTTGGTGATGTGACATGACTCAAAATGAGAAGATATAGCTGTAAACGTCCATTGGAAATCAGAATGTGTAACATATGGAGCATGAATCTAGGAAAACTGGAAGTTGTCAAAAACTAAATGGAACACATAAAAATCAATATCCTAGGCATTAGTGAGCTGAAATGGACTGGTATTGGCCATTTTGAATCAGACAATCCTATGGTCTACTATGGCAGCAATGATTAAATTATTACAGAGGAATGGCATCACATTTATCATCAAAAAGAATATTTCAAGATTTATCCTGAAATACAGTGCTGTCAGTGATAGGATAATATCCATATACTTACAAAGGATAACAGTTAATATTGGTTGGTTGGTTGGTATGTGCCGTCAAGTCAGACCTGACTCAGCAACCCCTCCTTGGGTTTCCGAGGCAGTATCACTATGGAAGTAGATTGCCCCATCTTCCTTCCGAGGAGTGGCTGGTGGGTGTGAACCACCAGCCTTCTGGTTAGCAGTCAAGTGCCTTAGGCACTATGCTACCAGAGCTCCTAACAGTTAATATTACTATTATTCAAATTTATACACCAACCACTAAGACAAAGGTGAAGAAATTGAATATTTTTACCAACTTCTGCAGTCTGAAATTGACCGAACATTCAATCAAGATGTATTGATAATTACTGGTGATCAGAATGTGAAAACTGGAAGCAAAAAAGCACTGGCAGTTGGAAAATACAGCTTTGGTGATAGAAATTATGCTGCAAATCACATAATAGAATTTTGCATGACTAATGATAACAACGACAATAATGATGACTTACTCATTGTAAATACCTTCTTTAAACAATATAAATGGTGACTATACATGTAGACCTAGCTAGATGGAATACACAGGAATCAAGTCAACCATATTTGTGGAAAGAGGCAACAAAGAAGTTCAATATCATCAATCAGAACAAGGCCAGGGGCCAACTGCAGATCACACCATTAAGCTGAAGAAAATTAAAACAAGTCCAGGAGAGTCAAGGACAAACTTGAGTATACCCCACCTGAATTTAGAGACCATCTGAAGAATAGATATGAAGCATTGAACATCAAGGACTGAAGACCAGACAAGCTGTGGGATGACATCAAGAATATCACAGATGAAAAAAGCAAAAGGTCATTAAAAAGACAGGAAAGTACTACACAAAAACATTGTTCTACATCCTACTTTGGTGAGTAGAAACTGGGATCTTAAAAACTTGCAAGTGGTCATCAATGGGTCTCTCCTCGTCCAGAGCAGAGAAGAATGAAAAAAACCAAAGATTCATGGAAACAATTAGTCCAAGGAACTGGCAGACCATGCAATCTTCAGCCTATATTACCATGAGACCAGAAGAACTAGATGGTGCCTGACTACCACTGTCAACCACTCAGAGGTGGACTGGTGCAGGAGATCCCGGATAGAGTGGGAGAACAATGTGGAACAAAATTCAAAATCA